TTGCTGACCTCCTCCTCCGTGAATTCTTGTTATAAACAGTAACTGAAAGTTTATTTCAGCAGTAGATAACTTAAGTAAATTTAGTGAAAATCAAATTTAAAATTTTAGTTTAACAAACAAACATAGTTTTATTCTGAGCCCATCTTTGCATATAAATTTCTGAGCCTGTGGCTTCTGAAGCCAAGACAGATTCCAGGGTTGCAGGAACTGTCATGAATTCATCTGAATTCCCAAGTAAGCATGGGTAGGGGAGAAGCGAGTCTGCCTCCAGGATAGTCCTGGAAGCTTCTGGGTCGGGGTGGGGGACTGTTTGACTTTTGATTTGCCCTGATGAGTTTGCCAGACAGAGTGATGAATATTTGGAGAATTGGCCTTCAGAGAAAGCAAAGAAAGTGCAGCAAAGAAAGCTGCCAGATGTTTTCAGGAAGCGCTGAAACGATCAGCACTGCCTGGATCAGAGGTGCTGGGAGTTGGGGAGGCCAACAAAATGTGCGACTAGAAATGGAAGCAGATCGTGTTTACATCCTGATTTTCTTGAGTCAAGGGTCAGAATTAGAATTGTGGGTGTCTCCTTGTACCCCTGTCAGTGGGCTGATAATTAGATTATGAGGTAATATTGCCTGTATCTCTGTAGCACTCAACATAGGAGTTTGAACACACATTTTCTTGTTTAGCACCATGTTCAGTTTGAATGGTGGTTAAAAAAGAGGAGAAGTGGGACGACTTAGAGAAATAAGAAACTGGGCTGGGGATTTAGCTCAGCAGTTCAGTGACCTGCCTTGAAAGCACAAGGACCTGAGTTCAATCCCCGGTACCAAAAAAAACCAAATAAGCAAACAAACAAACAAACAAAAATAGAAACAAGAAACTGCAGTCCACAGTTTTGACTGGAAATAGTCACCAATTTATCTGGCTTTGGCAGCTGCCTCGTGATTACCTATAATTTTCCACCTGCCTTTGCCTCCTGACCTTCTAAATAGGGTATTTTGAAGGATGGCTTTGAGAGTATAAGAGTAGTAGTAGATGAGAGGCAATCTTAAAAACCAGCAGATAAACTTTACTGTGGCTTTTGCTTTGCCTAATTTTGGGAAAGCAACAAAATATAGGCCAAAACAGCATTTCTATCCTTTAAGAAATTGTTGAATAATGAAAATTCCAAGAAAAACTTGTTTTCTTTTTGTTTCCTCATCTTCAGTTTGAAGGGCGTTCTATCTTGTGGAGTTTCAAGGTGTAAAATGTTTTCACTACTGTTTTTTGTGATTATGCTGCTACAAAGTTAAAAAACAGTTTCCATTCGATCCAGAATGTCCACTAAATATTCATTTAGAAGCTAGCTGTCAATATTTGATATTCATTGGATAAAACATCTGTCCTAATTCTTCAGTTTCCTGGCTCCTGTTGAAATTTTACTTATAGGGAATTTCCTCAGACATTATTTATTTATTTAATTCTGTTTGTATTTCAGAGGCCAGGCTTACTCTTTTATCTGTTTATTTATTTTCCTCATTGAGTTTATTGGTACATTTTAGGTATACAGTACTTACTCTTTTAATAGATGAGTGTTCAGGAAATTGTTTTTAAAATACTGTCATGTATTTGTTTATTATATCTATTATTAAGGATGTTGCAAAAATAAGTAAACAAGGTACAAATCTTTTGTTTCCTCAGAATACAAATCTGCATGAACCTGCATAATTACTCATTGAATGAGTATTCTGTGATTCAGCCATCCCTATGTCATATATATGGCAAAAAATGAAGCAACTCATGTGTTTACATTAAAGGTCTAAGTTTGTCAGAGCTTAAGATAATATATGTATATATGGGTATGCTTCTTGGAGCCTATGGATGAAATTGTATGTACTCACTACCTGTGTTTTTCTTTCTTAAAATTTTTCCCCAAAAATAAACTTTTAGCCCAAAGGAGCAATCACTTACAGAGTTTACTTTCTAATAATTTTTGATTTTCTACACAGTTCCATAATTATTTTATCAGAATCAATTAAAGAAAAAATGGTCTAACTCATAGCAATGTCTCAGGAGCAAGTTCTAGAAGAAGAAATCGGGAAGGAAAGCGCTGCCTGGTGCAAGAGTATTCATGGTCCTTTGTTGGCTATAAGATCAGACAAAGAGCTGGATAAAGGAAGATGCGTTACATCTATGACTCACTGTATAGTATTGCTTAGTAGTGGGTGTCCCAACTACTTCCCTCTGAAGTTCTGGGCTCTAAATTGAACAGAATTTTTCTTTTGGAAACTACCTATATAAATGCGTGTGAATTATTACAGTGCACAAATTGCAGTAATAAATTTAAACCGTAAGACTGATAGTAAAATACATTTCCCAGTTATCAGAGGATGTCCTAGGTCAGAAGCAAACAGAGCAAATGGTGAGGTAGCTGAGTGTTGCCCTTAGGAAGGACAGCTGATTATGCACTACTTGGTGAAGCTGACAAAAAATAAGAGGGACACAAAGGCTCCATTGTAAACTCACAATTTATTATTTGATCCTGCTGTACTGAAGCTTACCTTTGAAAGATACGTGAATAAAAGCATTTTCCATGCAAAGTGGTAGCATATTTAAGTTTAGATGTCCTATATGCAGAAACATTCTCATGTTTTCCATAAATTCTCTAATATCCATAGTCTGCCTTTTGTTCTGCATTTTAATCAGCCAATAAAGTTTCAGTTTTCCTATTGGAAATACAACTGTGAATTAAAAAATAATAAAATGTTTGCTGTTGGATGGTTGGCATTTTTGCTGGTTTACATTCAATCCATTTCTGTCTGTTCAGTTGGGATCATAGCTGGTCTGCCAACTTTCTGTCGCCTCCTTTGCTTGTAACACTTTGTAGAGATTTCACAACATTGAAAAAATATTCTAATAGTCTTGGGTAAATATAGTATGGTAAAATGTTATACATTACTCTAGTGATGGTGTCAGGGAGGGAAGCCTGGGAACCATAGTTTATATAAGCCACATTATAAATTGTTTCTTAACTTGAACAGTTAGACTCTCTTAATGAAAAATATCATATTATGTATCAAGTAGATAAAAGTCACCTGATCTTTATTTCAAGGACCTCTGTCACTATATATATGTATATAAATCGTTTTAGTCATAGTATTTCCTGGGCGTATCACTCTGAACTGTAGTTCTTTTTTTTTTTCATGTGAGAAATTAAATGACTTGTTTCTGTTTGACCTTATTAACTTCCTGTTTCAGTATCTCCAATATAAAGCAATTGAATTCCACTTCTACAGAAGTGGAATTTTTTATATCTGATTTGACTTTCAAGATTAAATATTTTAGGTGGAAAAATTATGGGCTCTAGAATTATACTGGGCTGACCTTGAGTCACAAGCTCTGCTGTTTCATTGCCTATGCTACTGTTGTTTATGTTTTTAGCTATTCTGTTATCTAGCTTTCTGTATCCAATGTGGAGATAGCACCTTTTGTCTTACAAAAAAGCTGCAAGGACTAAAGGAGATACATATAAAGTGCCTAGATTAGTAATTAACTGTTTTTTCCTAAATTTATTCATTTGGCTTTCTGATTATCTTTCGTATTTCTTTTTTTTTTTTTTTTTTTTTTTTTTTTTTTTTTTTTTTTTTTTTTTTTTTGTACCGGGAATCGTACTCAGGACCTTGTGCTTGTAAAGCAGGCACTGTTGTCGCTGAGCTAAATCCCCAGCTACTTTCTGTATTAAAACAAAATTAGATCAATTACTGTATTCCCCAGATTTCCTTCTCATGAGCCACATGTTCATTTCTAGGCATGATATGCTCGTGTCTGTTAAAAGCAATTTAAGTGTCCTCAACAATGTGTATATGTGTTTGCTTCCATTTTTACTACAATTGCTATAAAAATAATAATTATTACTGTGTGCTGGGGATTGATAACTAATAATTTCACTTCTCTATTTCTACAGTGCTGGTCAGAATCTTCTCAAGTTACCATTACTTGCAAAATTTTCTTGACTCAGTATTTACCCCCCGTGTCCTTAAAAAGTCATGTTTTGAGATTCTACAATATGTTCTGAAGATATTTTCTTGAATCTAACTTCCTCTTACCTCCTGCCTTTGACATATGCCTCCATTCTGCCACAAGCATAGTACAGTGGAATTCTGATTCCCCAAAACACTCCTTTTCCCCTACTGTACACAGACAAGGGCCTGCCTCCGTGCTCCTGCCAAGATCCCTGCAGTGTTAAACCTAGTTTCCCAGGTGGAAAAGGACTGAGGGAAAACATCCAGCTCCCACATGGGTTTCATAGAGCAGGAAGGGTCTGTGGGTGCCTTCGCCCATGTGAGTAAGACATCAGTTCTCTTACGAAGCAGTCTTTTGGAAGAATACATCTGCTGTAGAATAAGCCAAGGGAAAGCCTGACAGTAAAACTGTACAGATTATTTTGCAGTCAGCAGAGAACACCATTTCTTGAAAATACTGTAATTGTCTTCAGTTTACAGCAAGCATCTCAGATTTTCTTTTCTCCATTCCATGTGTCTCATCCCATTAGAGAAGAGAAACATATCCCTGCAGGCTGTATATTCTGTAGCAGGAGGGTTCTTTAATAGAACAGTTATGATACCTGTGAAGTCAGGTGAATTGAAAGCAGTATCATTCATTTAGATAGTTTCTTTAGAATACTATGAACTGCCCAATCTCCATAGTTGGATTCATATGCCTGCTGATTCCCAACTCTTGAAGAAGATATTTTGCTGTTTTTATACTAATACAACAGCTCTGTGACATAGAAATTATCATCAATTAGAGGGTAAGGAAAACACAGAGGCTGACAGGTTAAATGGAACGGTGGCCACACAATTATTAAATGATCCCTTCTTCTCAAATTCAGATACTCTTCTTTTTTACTGTGCTAGTTTGCTTTATTTTAAGTTTCCATTTTCAAATGGAGAAAAGCTCCAAGTGAGTTAATTACAGTGGATGTAAAAAAAGGAATTCAAATGAGTAATATCATTATCTCTCTCTATTTCCAGTCTGTACGAAGCAGGTAACTGATGAGGCATCTTCCACTCGAGATTCAAGCCTTACTAACACAGCAGTGCAAAGCAAGTTAGTGTCTTCCTTTCAGCAGCACACCAAAAAGGCTCTGAAGCAGGTAAGAGGACCGCCATTCCTTCTTTGCCCTTTGGTTCTACTTACTGAGGGTAATGCGTGTCCTGCTGATTGAATATAATACACAAGAGTCTAGCAATCAGAGAGCAGTGGAAATATCCTGATCTCAGCCCCTCCCACTTTATTTAACATAAAAATTTTAGCCTCTCCTAAGGTAAGGCCTAGCTAGTAATTGTGTTGTAAAACAGGAGAGGGGATATATGCTTGGAAATATGTAAAAAATTGTATTACATTTATTTCATATTGTGTGTATGACTTGTAGTAAACCAGTTAGATTCCTAAATGCATTGCATAATTTGACAATAATGTCTGCATTTATGATCTCACTGTTTATCTGATGTTGATGTAAAAAATAAATGATAATTTCTTGCCTAATATTGAGATACATTGTTACAAATAAGAAAAATAGTTAAGTGTAGCTCATGTATTATCTAGAATATCCATCAGTGAGTGTTGTTTGGTGTTGAATAGTATCGACCTGACACTGCATAAGCTGTGTTGACCTCTGGCCTTGCCCTGTCTGGCCTTGTGCCGAAATGGTGGTGGAGACAGGTTGTGAGGGGGCTCTGGGTGCTGGCCTACCGCAATTTGAGTCTGTGCGTCTAGGCAAGCCACTTTGCCTCTCTGAATCTCAACTTCTTTCTCTGGAGAATGTGCAGAATGATAGTGCCTTGCAGAAGCACTGATGTGAAATAACTGAGGAGATACATTGAGAGCATATGGTAGTGACTCTCTCGGCCATAATAACAATAATGAACATTAGCTACTGGGCTCACGCTAGCAAATACTGAATGGTATGAGAGCAGGAGGAGATGCTCTCGGTAGATGGGGCTGCAGCATGATGGTTATACTAATAATTGTATCGATAAATGGAAAGTTCTTATGCTAAACCTTGAATTCATGGTTTGCCCTTAACTGCTTTCTTCTTGTAGTTTCATTTTCATCTTCTCTGCCCCCCCCCGTTTATCCTTATAAGGTCAAGAAGAGTGGTATCATTCTATGGATACTTGTTTACATATCCTAGTGTGTCATATCACTGTCTGTCTAAATTAGAAAAAGAGAAATCTTGATTTCTAAATGAAAGTTCATTAAAAAAAAACAAAAACAAAAAAACAGTTCCACCAACCTGAAAAGATTCTTCACATTTATGTCCAGTCTTCAGGCTTGGACTGTCTCCACCCACCTTTTCCTGTACTTCAAACAAGGAAATGTAGGGGAAAAAACAATGCTTTCATACTAATTTGTATTACCTTTCTGTTCTGTATTTTAAAAATTGTACCATTTCCATTTATTGGCATTGTATTTAAAGTAATAACAGCATTCCATCCAGCATTGGTTAAATAATCTCAGCTTGTCATTTATACCCTACCTTCTGTGAAACATTTTAGATGCTGGAGAACAAAACTACACTCAGTGTTTAGCTCCTGTTAATTGCTGAAATTAAGATTGGAGTAGGTAGGGGAGTCTGGATAAAGATTCATTCAGGCAGCAAATAGGATACAGGTAATAAAATACTAACCAGTACAGAACAAAGGATACAAAACTGGACACTTGTAGCTGTGACATTTAAAAAACATCAATGAGTTCATAATGAAACTCATAATTCTGATGTGCAGTGAGTTGGAAAATATGCATACCAGAAAAATCTTCCTGTATATGAGGGGATAGATAAGATTCGAATCTCTGTATTGTTATGTCATTATTTTTTACTCTCTTTGTTTTGGTTTTACATCACTTGTACATTTTTTTACAATTACTGGAGTGTTATACAACTTCGAGTTAGAGGCCATTTGTTTTGTTGTGGAGTATATATTTGTGAAACTTGTTGCTGGCTTGCTTAAGGAGCAAAAGCTTGGCTTAAGAAACTTGTCCTGTATATTTCTTAATGTCCTGGAAGGGGTATTCATTCATTTCTTAAAAACTTTTTTATAGCCAAGTAGCAAATTAGTAACCAAGAGAAAATGGCTCAATATATAGCAGATATGCTAATTTATTAAGAATCAAATTCATATTTGAAATGCACTTAAAATGGCTCAATATATAGCAGATATGCTAATTTATTAAGAATCAAATTCATATTTGAAATGCACTTAGAAGAAAAGCTGGGCTTGCAGAATTTTTCCCAAATTTCCTGTAATTGTTGAATTTCTTAAAACAGAATTTGAAAAATTTACTAACCATATGGTATTTTAAATTGTAGCCATACAGCAAATCTACAGCTTTATTTTCTTTGGGCTAGTTAAATGATTATGACCATAGTAGATTTTTTAAGTGTTATAGATATAAATATTAGATATATCTTATATATATTTTATATATGGATATATAATATATTATACATATTATAATACGTATTATATATTTGTCTGTGTATGCATGTTTTCCACATCTGTGAATATAGGTTTTATGTTGTGGGTAAAACACAAGTCATAATCATACAAATCTAGGCCAGTTGTATACCTCAGAAATAATTACATTAGCTAATATTTACATTGTGCCTTCATTTTGCATATACATTCAATCTTCCTACAAATCTTTTAAGTACTAATATCCCTGTTTTTTAAATAAAGAAACTAAGGCCTAGAGAAGTTAGATAACTTGCCAAGATCACTCAGCAAGGAGAATGAAGATGACGTTTGAATCCAGAGTCATAGTTTCAGATTTTATCCTCTTCACTAATAACTGTCTTTTCAGCATATGGTATATAACAGTGGCAATCAAATTTTGACACTGTTTGAGGATATTCACATAATTAAGTTTTTGTATAGCATAAGGAGAACAATATAGACACAGACTTTCCTGTGAACACAGGCTGTTTATGTTATTACTAGCCTGTGTTAATGACTCACACTCAAATGTATTAGCCACTATTATTTTATTAATAATATTTTATGGTACCAGGGATTTAGCTCAGCGGTTCTGCTTCCTGCCTGACAAATGCAAGGTCCCAAGTTTGGTCCCTGGTACCAAAAAGAAAAAAAAATATGATTCAGAAGCACTTGAGAAGCACATACATTGGCCAGTATAGAATCTAAGAAAGAAATAGATGAAAAGAAACAAACCCCTAAGTTATAAAGTAGCTTTATAACTGTATGTATAGTGAAAAATAATAACTTATAACAACTGCCCTTTCAAAATAGCTATGCATATTTTCCCAAATCTGAGTTCGTCACTCCTCACCCCATCTTAAGCGTGCCCATTCAGCAGGTTGCTTTTGTAACACTATTGATTGACCTGTACCTGTAGGCTGGACGCAATAATGCCTCTTAGTTATTGACATAGAGGTTTTTTTTTTTTTTTTTTTTTTTTTGCTCTCAAATATTTGGGTCTCTTTTAATTTCCAATCATCAAACATTAGTTAACATCATATGTTGGGCATAATTGCATGAATAATATATTTCAGCTTTTTTTTCTGAATAAATGTGCTCAGACATCTCTGGAAAGCAGCAGATTGCTGATTATCACCTTGTTCCCCATTTTCTTTCTCCCTTGGATTTTTAGATCCTAAAAAAGTGTAAAATGATTAGATTTTGAATTTTAAAGAAGGATGATTAAGAAAGATTAAATTTTGGAAGTTTTTAAACAGCAGGAGAAAACGAAAGATTAAAAAAGGATGATTTCTGGGGGAAAATGACATGGTTGCGAACTTTCTATGTTGATTCTGTTGGCTTATTTTACTTCCTTCATCAGTTATTTGTTGTGGTAGAATTTATTCATAAAGTTGCAGATCCCTTTCCCACTTGACATTGCAAAACAGATATGTTCCTGATGTTTTGCTTTATCTTTATATGTTTGGCCAATCCTGCAACGTTCCACAGGTTCTGGTGTGTGATAGCGCGTTCTGAACACCACCATTGGCATTTAGTGTATTAGCAACAATTAGCATATTAGCAATAATGCAGATTGTTGGTGCCTGACACAGCCTGCTGTTTCCTATAGGTATATTTCTTGTTCAAGCTTTAGCATGCACAGCATGGGATATTTTCAGATTTTCAGTAAAGGGCTCATTTTATTCAGTGTATTCCTAGGCTACATTGTTGGTGGTGTTTCTCTATGAAAATAGGGTAAGCAGTATCTATTTAAAATTCCAAGTTAACATAAAAGCCTCTGATTTTTCAGTTTTATTTTTTCCATTAGGGTAGACACGAGTATCATTCTGTATGTTTTAGAATTATGTGATAAAATTTCTGCCAATAAATGAAATGTTTATCTGGAAGTTATTCTTCTCTTTACAAGAAAATATTGTACTACATCTCTGGAGAAAAGGATGTTCAGTCAGCATCTTGTGATTTCTTTCCTTTTACTTAAAAACAGAATTAAATAAATAGAAGTATGATAGGATCTTTACTTTTCCTAGACTTATTTTGCTGTTATGTTTGTTTCCACTACAAGTTAGCTTATTTTCAGGTTTCAGCCTATAAATTTCTTTTATATTGTGCAGTACCTGTAAGTTTCAGACTTGTTAAGTTTAAATTACAGTTCCTCTTCGAACATTGTAGGTATTGAAATTTTACTCTGTAGTTTGAGCAGCAGGATGAAATGCATGTGGCCAGCTTGTAGGTACATTCCTTCATCGTAGAGTGCATTTACATTAGCCTCCTGCTTATTTATTTAGCATCTGATATTGCTTACTTCTAGATTGAAAATGACAAAATTTAAAGTTGTTCAGTAAGATAATTTATTGGTATTGCCAAGGGTAGCTGAGGGTGAGGCAGTTGAATTGCCTCCTTAATATCATGCCCCTAAAACGAATGTAGACTAAAATAGTGAGATTATATAATATTGATATAAAAATCATCTTATAGGCTAGTCAGTGATGGCATACCATCACTAGCCTGGTATGGAACAGGGAAAAGCTGCCCTCACTTAAACTATCTCATTAAAACAAACAAGCAAACAAACAAAAAACGCCTCTTTTTAGAGTCACTGTTGTACAGGACACACCCTTCACAGCCATCCACAGTAACTTTCCCAGTCCTATTTACTTAATAATATCTATTGCATGGAGTCATACTCTCCAGGCTACGGGATACCCACATTTAGATGATTATAAGTTAAACTGAAGTTAACTTATAAATACTTATATAATATGTCATAGGAATTTTCTTATTTTTTTGGTATTTTAGCAAAAATTCAAGGTTGAAATATTGTGACACAAATATTCTTTCTTTGAAAGAGCAGTGTTAGACACAACCCCAAAGGGGCTAATGAGGGGAGAGTAGATGGTCTACTGATCATTCTTAAACTGCTGCTTCTACTGACTCGGCACCTCAGTATTTCATATGGTTGCTGCTTCTTGTTACTTAGGTATCATTTCCTTTGTTGCCTCCAGAGAGAAAGAAACCTTTTTCAACCTCCCAATCTAGGTCAGTTTCCTCCACCCCAGTAATTCTACTTCATTTCCTGGCATAATTTTCTGAGCACTTCTGTGTGTGTAAAATTATTGTATTTATGTATTTCCTTATTTTGTCCTTCGTGAAAATGCAAAATAGCTAAAACTTTTGTCATATTAGTATGGTGGATCAGCGGTACTTACACTGCAGTACAATAGAGTAAGTTCTCAAATATGAAGTTCTTACAGAATGCATACATTATATCATTATTAAAAATAGCCTGTTGGTTGGTGGAACCCACATGAAGGGTACGTCTTCCCTCCTCAGTAAGTCCGTCAATCACCAGTATCACTCATTCATGACCCAGTCACTCTCCAAAGTCCTACCTATGAGTGCATGAGACTTTAGGAGGAAATGTAGCATTTATTGAGTATTTGTACTTTAAACTGTGCTAAAAACAGTGTCCATAGATTTCCTGTGAAAACCTCTTGTCCACACTGTCGATACATTTACCCCAGTAATTTATTATATTACACAGCTAGCTAGTTAAACCTTTCTCTGACATTACAAGCCCATGACCTTTATACCACTCAGCCAGTAAGTCAGCTCTGCAGAAGCCACAGTTCCTCTGGAGGTCATCCTCTTAGAAAAGGGGTTACCATCCTGTACTGGGAAGTTTATTTTAATGCCTGTATTGGGTAGACTCCTTTATTTGTGCGGTGAGGAATGGTGTATGGTAAATATGGAGGAGGATTGCTGCCCTCAGGCTGAATCTCGCTCATGGTCATCCTTTGTTCTGATTCATTATTTAAAAATGGGAAAACACCTAGAAATCTAGATTTTATGCTTTTCTTGAGTAACATCTGCCTCTCCAGTGGGGTATATGCATTCCCACTTACTTTAGTCTTTCCTCCTGTTTTATCTTACTTCTTAGTCACCTGGCCTCAAAGGCACTTAATGTTTTCTAAAGAATTTTTAAAAGAGCATGTCTGAGTTACTTTCTCTTTGCTGGAACAAAATACCTGGCACCCACATATTAAAGGACGAAAAACTTATTTTAGCTCAATTTGTAGAGGTTTCAGTCCATAGTTGGCTGGCTCCAAGACAGGGGCAAAGGTGCATCATGGAGGAGAAATAGTCCATGACATGGCAGGCAGGAAGCAGTGAGACTTCCTCCTTTCCCTTTTTATTCTCTCTAAGATAAAAGCCTGTTGATTGGTGGAACCCACACCCCGGATGTATCTTCCCTCTTCAGTAAGTTCATCAATCAGTGGGGTAAACCAGTATCATACACCCACGATCCAGTCGTTCCCAAAAGCCTCATCTATGAGTGCACGAGGCTTCAGGAGGATGTGTAAGCCTACGAGAGAGTGTGACCCATATTTGAGTAGTTGGCTTACACAAAGTTGTAGAAATAAGTTTACATATCCCAAAACAAAAAGTAACACAGCTAGCCCTCTTTGCTTAGTATATGCCCCACCTCAAGGGGCAAAGAATCTCACCAATGTAAGTGGCTAGTGCTCCTGTTTAGATTCGCCCAGGCCATCCCAAGCATCTCAGTTGACACAATATTGTTTTTTCCCTCTACATCAGCATTATGATCTGTTTGGAGGGTATCCCAGTGTCCAGAGTCGGATAACTTTGCTTTCTGAAAATTGGATTGGGCACTTCAGGGCAGCCACAGATTCACTCTAAAGCAACTTGAGTCTTCACCAGTGCTGGCCAATCTACGGCACATGTGCTACAGGCTTTTTGTTACCCTTGAAAGCTCTAGAAGGTTTGTCATCACTGGTCTAGGCTAGGGAATATATGCAATCAGGATGCCCCCTTCCTATTCTGATGATGGAACTCTGGTCTGCCTGACTTTGCTGCTTTTCTACTGTCACTAGTGTCATTGCAAATCGGCACTGTAAATTTTTGCTTATCTGCCTCTAGAAATGTTATTTGAGAATAAATGTAATGCTTATTTTTCAAAGGTAAAACAAAGTAGTTTGTATACTTTTAATATGTTTTCAATATTTATCTTTCGTACATGATGAGCATTTAGTTTTGGTCACCTGTAGGCACATAGCATTGCATCACAGTATTTTAAAAAATATTCTGTTGAGAAATACTGTTGTGTTTTTTGAGTAGGAAATACATATTCAGAAAGAAATCATTCAGCTGGGCACAGTGGTGCATGTTTATAATCACAGCACTTGGGAATACGAAGCCAGAAGATCTCTGAGTTCAAGGCCACCTGAGTTACATAGTGATTTTCAAGGTAAACCCAAACTATATAGGGAGACCTAGTCTCAGAGAAACTAAAAACAAAACAAACTTATTCAAATGAGCTTTATATTAATTAGCATTCCTTTATACTTGCCTGAAGTTAAAATTACCAGTGGCTCTGAATTTTTCCACTTATCTGTCGTGATTTTGTTCTTGTTTAGTTTTCTGTGGTAGAGGCTTCTCAGGTCTCCAAATTGAGGGCAAAATTTCTGTTACTTTAATTAATATTTACCACAAATGCTACAAAAAGAAATGCTATCTTTGACTTTCTCATTCCAGATTCTAGGCCACTAGTTAGATCAGCTATTTTTTTTTCTTAGCCAACATTTTCTAATAAATTCCCTAACTTCTCATGTGTGAACACACACACACATGCACATGAACACACACACACACACACAACACACACACACACAATTTTTTTTTTCCTTTGGTACTAGGGATTGAACTCACACAGGCACAGTGTCACTGAGCTAAATTCCCAGCTCCCATTAAATATTTTTTAAAAGCCTACTATTTTTCTCAGGGAAATAATTGAAATCTGTAGCATATAGTCTCCTAAAATTCATTACTATTTGTGCAAGATTTTTTCTTTTGTGAAGTCTTACATCGTAGGCAAAGATGGACTTAATTGTAATTTAAAGGACCATGTCGCCTCATTTTATTGTACTAAGGGATTGTTAAGTAAATGCCTTTAAAATGTTTTGAGTTCTTATAAGAGACTAGGGAGATTTATGTAAGTATATTCACAATTCACGTGCAATTATGTATATACATCGCAAAAAGAGTAAATGTCTTAAATATTTTATAGCCATATTTAAATATATTATTAAAATGAGAAGGAGGACACTTTCTTAATCATTGTATCTCTTGTCTGCCCACAGTGCCTGGTCTTTATAAAGGTTTATAAATGTATGAAACCCATGGAACATGTCTAGTATTATCATTAAGAACCATATCATTTGTAATAGATTTCCTGAGCCTTTCCTTTCTTACTGGGCTTGAAATTTCCTCTGAATAAGCCTGTTCTCACTTAAGTGATGTTTAATTTTTCACTTCCACAGTTATTTGATTGCTAAATCTTATGGTCAACAAGTTGAACATTCAGCTAATACTTTGGGCAAATAAAATGACATCCTTTTTGACAGCAAGGCAATGTACAGTCAATGCAGTATTTCAGGGGATTCTGACAACTGTTTGTCAAAGAACATTAATCAAGTAACTGAGCTGTTGTAAAATTGTTAGGAATTACATAGAAACCAGGAATAAAAGGGCTGAGATAGTCTGTGGCCAGCCTTTTAACCTTTTGGGGAGTTTTAGCATTCCTGTGACTGTGAATTTAATAGCTCTTCCGTTTTGTGTGCTTAAGACCCTTTTTATTGCAGGTAATTTTCTATATAAAGTGATCAGCTAGATAAAGCTGTATTTCAAAACTTTTAAATGTCTTTTATTACATTATCTTCACCACAGTGGGTTCATTTATGAAACACAAAGCACTCCCATCTGGAGAGATTTATTCTGGTATCTCTTTTTTCCTGGATTTGCCCGAACCCCCTCGTGTTCGTGTTCTGAAGGTTAATGCCCAAAGTCAAGCAGACAGAAGCCAAGTGCTGCAAGGTTTCCAAGATTAGGACTGATTCCCTTCACAGAAATAAATGATTCCTGCCATGTTCAGTGATTTTGTGCCGCGCTCCCCACGGCTGAGTGAATGCATCAATACTGTAGTTCTTACATGCCGTACATACTGATGACACACGGTGTTAACTGATTGACGGAACAGGGCACTGGAGACGGCGCACCTGCAGAAGTGCAGACACATATATTTTTATCCTGGTTTTGAAACATTTATTTTACATTTATTTTATTTGTTAGTCACAGTTTCAAATTCCATGGGCTCTCAAGCCACACTGCCAAGGTAGAACAAACCGTTAAGTGCTGCTTTGTTGTCAGAATTATGCTGAAAATGGTCTCAAGATTAAACCCTTTGCCAAAGTGCAGTTTTATGCTTTTGAGGGAAAATGACATGAAGGTGACTATTAAGAATCTTGAAAGATTAGGGACCGTGGAATTTAAGTCTCTCAAGAGGTTCTATCCAGGGATGAGCAGGTAGATCATTTAATTCAATTATGAGAAATCGTATTGGCTATTTTTATATTTATTATCATGTTTTATAGGCTTTGAGGCAGCAGCAGAAAAGAAGAAATGGAGTCTCAATGATGGTAAACAAGACTGTCCCTCGTGTTGTTTTGACACCATTAAAGGTGTCTGATGAGCAGTCGGATTCGCCTTCAGGTAAAGAGCTAAAATACTGTATGTTTGGCCAGTTTCTTCCCAGTGGAGATTTCCTCACTGAGAGAGAGAGCATGAGTTTTGTTATTTTTTCTTTCTGAAGCTAAAAAAATCCTTCCACTTGAGATATAGTTTATTCGTTAGTTTTGTTTTGTATTTGCAACTCTTTCAGTGATTCAAAAATATATTTCCCAGCTTTTTAGGAAAAAGTACTAGCTCGCTTGCTCACCATCAGATGACTTCATTTGCTAATGTCAGTAGGTGTGAGAAAGTGTGTGGTGATGCTTCATGGGTTTGGCTGTGTTGCTTTTGCCTTTTGTTTGAATGTTGAACTTTACTGGCAAGACCACATGCTGATGTGTAACCCTGTAAGGAGCAGTTCTTGCATGAGTGGGAATTTGTTTTTCAGTCTTCTAGTGCAGAATTGGGGATCCTTTATTAGCTTTTGTGTTCTAGCAACATTCTTTGCACCTCAGTGCAGCCCTGACCTTTTCTTCTAATTTACCTCCTGTCACTTTATCAGCTATGTACCATTCTACGTTTTATAGAGTAATGTTTGCATTTTCTCTTCCTGCTTCAGTATAAAGTTTTATAAAGGTCTAATCTCTCCCTTCTTCCTTCATCTTTCTGTCTCTATCTTGTTTTGTCTCTAAATGACATTGCATTGTTCGGGCTTATTGGAGTATTTTTACAAAAGATCTGACTCTATTTCTTTTAAGGGCTATCAGATCAGTGAATGTGTTTTTGAGTCTGCTATTAGGCCATCTGTTCTTGCGTTTTGTCCTGTTTGATTGATTTATTGGGTTTTTCTCTTTATATCCAGCAGAGGAATCAGATTGAGCCCAAAAGTAGTATATTAACTCTTAGAGGAAAAGATTGTATCTACAGTTCTTAAAACAATTTTAGATTTTTCTTTTCAAGGGCAATGAGAGTAAGATAATGGCATAATAACAATTCCCTTTTTTCAGGATCTGAATCTAAAAATGGTGAAGCAGACAGTTCAGATAAAGAAATGAAACATGGGCAGAAATCTCCCACTGGAAAACAAACAAATCAGCACTTAAAACGATTAAAAAAGTCTGGTTTAGGTGAGTGTTCCATAGATCACAACATTTAGCATTTTAGAGATGCATGCTTTTCCAAGTAAATTATGGAATAGTCTCAGAATTTTGTTGTTGAACATATAAATTAAAACATACTAAACTGAAAGGTGTACTTAAAAAGGAAACACTGCACAATTACTGATCTTAAGCTTATAACTAATTTATAAATAGTTCTGGATAAAACAGAAGGTAAAGATAACAGAATTACAAATGTATTAATAATTATGTACCCAGTCATGATTCTATATAATGAGCTGTATTTTGTCTATGCAACTATAATTCATTTATTTTGGACTGTATTGTATTGGGGAAAATTCTTTTCTTAGGATCCCTTGAACTGAGAGAGCATCGCCATTGGGATCTGTTACGGGACTAAAACTGCTTGGCCTTTTCTTTGTTTGTACTGCTACAGATATCAGTGCCTGTCTAAAAAATAATGTAAGATTGCTAGGAAGTGGGGGAGATGTGCTCTGTGGGTCTTGCCTGTCAGTGGCGAGTCAGCACCATGTTCTCTCAACTCTTCATCAGGGAACTAACAGCAGCATTCAGGAGGGTGTGAATTAAAGACACAAAAATAAATGTGTCCTGAGCTGAACATTGTTGTTGTTGAACACCCCTGATTTGTTGAATTATCTAGAAATAATGACTTTCTCTATTTCTTCTGTGAACAAGGGTTAATAATCTGTATCATGTTAATCATGTTAATAGTTTGTCAAGTAGTTTGGTAGAAACTACAACTCATTCTCTTAGGATCATTCTTTTTTTTTTTTTTGGTACCAGGAATTGAACTCAGGACTTTGCGCTTGCAAGGCATGCAGCAGAACTACTGAGCTAAATAATCCCCGACCCAGGATCATTCCTGTTTGCTGAGCTTTTTTTTTCCCAAAATTCAAGCCAAAGTTTAACATTTTTATTTATTGGTAAAGATTTATAGATTGTCTGCTATATGCCAAGCATTTTACTAAATTCTTGGAATATACTTGCAATAAAATATCTCCATAGAATTTAAATCTTTGGATAAGAGATTTCTGGAAAAGCAGAAGTTAATTTTTACTTAAATTCTTTAACTATAATATAATTACCTATTTTATATTATTTATAAGGCTAAATAATGTTATAGTTATATCTGGCCCAGAATATACTCATGTGTCTTTGCATCTAACAATGTGTATATATACTGTGTTATGTGTTTTTCTAGTCTTCTGGGTGTTATAACTGTCTCTTGATATGGGAGAATGCCATGTAAAGAATAATCTCTATCCAAAACAGCCTCATATTACCATACACAAAATGGTTTAGAAGTCAGTGGGACCTTGAGTTAGAAACAGTCTGCTACCAACTCAAGTAAAATTAGTGCTGTACAATGAGACTGAGATTTAAGATAGTAGGGCCTCCCTTTTCCCTTAGCTGACTTCAGGACTGGAAGTTAACAAGATGGCTTGGTGCATTTTGTCATCAGGACCCTTGGGGGTGGGGTCTTCAGTCAGAATTACTTGTATTCTAATTGTTCTCAGTGTGAACCTCATACTCAAAGTGATAGAGAATTGAAATTTTTTTTCTTATTGTTTTTCTACATCAAGAGTCAACTCAAAGCTATAAAAGATGATCTACAAGCCTGATCTTAGGGAATACTGCTCACTACTAATCATCTTACATGTTCAAAATTGTGCTGCCAGATTGTTTTGACAGATTTGTAGGCAAAGTAAAAGGGTAACAAGGGAGGTCACTGTGATCCTTTTGACACGTTTCATGTTAAAGTACAAAAATAATGAAGGTACTTTAATAAAGGAAGAAAGATGTGAAGTCATATTCACTGTCAATATATAATGGAATAGTCTAGGTATTTTGACATGTCACCTTAATTAATATTTTAATATTGTGCAATAGAACGATTTTCCTTTTATAGCTAAAGAAATTGAGTCTCAGAATAGTTAAGAAGGTTGCTCATAAATGACACAGCTAAGACTCAAACCAAGGCTTATCTAATTGGATGGGATCTGGGTGTCAGATCTTCTGTCCTGTATTGTACACCTGTAGACACCACTTAGAAGCGCCCTAGCACAGTGTGACGTAACAAGTTCATCGTAGGTGTTGAAGTGCAGACACACGAGTTACGTGTGGAAGGAGAGCAAGCCGCTGTAGGATTTCCTGGCTTATCCTATATCAAACAGAAGGAAGAAAATGGTGGGATTTAAAGTAAGTCAATTAAGGTAGAAACCTGTCAAAAATTAAAATCCAAGTCATTGCTGGCAAGGAACTGTGATTGACTGACTAACCCAGCAAGCAGTGAGTGCAGTGGCTTCTTCTGTGCAGTCAGTAGTACTTATTGAGCTCCCAGTGTATGCCTAGCCATTTAAAATGAAAAATGAAAAAAAAAAAAGTAAAGTGAGAGAGAGAGAGCCTTAAATAAAACCATCTCCAGACAACTCATGTCTCTTTTAGACAGTGGTATTTTTGACTTTCTATTAAAATCAGCGTGCTTAGTACTCAGCAAGGCATATTTATGTACATTCTGCTCTCTCCTTTCTGTTAAGCTGTTAGTTCCTTGGGAACAGTAACCTTTCCTTCTGTCTTTGTGGTCTTTTTGGCACTGTTGTTTCCCTTTTGTTCACTGGGTGCTGAATCCATTTTAGATGAATGAATAATTTATAATCAATTAAGTAAGCTAGTAAATTAGTATGGATGAATGCCACATCCTATAGGTTTCAGCCACTGATCTGTCCTTGGATAGAAGTGACCTTGTGTGTTTGAGAGAGTTCATGCTTTGTGAACCCATGTGTATCTTGGTGACCCAGGACCAAGGAGTGACCACTCTACAGTGCTCAGCTAGCTAGAGGGGAGAGCTGGCTGTCCCACATCTGTCCTCTCCTGGGTCGGTATCTAATTCATAGTTTTGGAACCACGTTTTTAGCTTTGTCTTCTGTTGGCAGGCTTAGCTGTATAGAAGTTCTAATCTGTTAAAACTGTTCTGAATTATAACAGGTGCCGTAAGTCTGTTCTGGATTCAATTGATAATTCTGAAACAAAATCCAGTCAAATTTAGTCTTTATGGTGTAAGTCTAAATTTTTATTCTCACTGTGAAATTTCCCTAAGGATCTTCTAATCACTTCTAATTATTACCCAAGTGCTTTGTCTTCATTTCTGGCAGTTGCTTAATTTGTGAAATTACAGGGTAGTCACTCTATTCAAGGTATAGGTTTCATTTGGGTCTTAGAAACTAATGAGTTAGCCTAAGACCCAGCGGACCTTTGGTTGTTGGATCTGTGAAGGATCTGTGAAGGATCTGTGAAAGATCTTTTGCATAAATCGTCTAAGCCTCATCATATGTCCACCTTCCTATAACAAGTTCCAGAACACACAATACTACTACTACTACTGCTACTACTACTACTACTAATAATAATAATAATAATAATAATAATAATAATGATAGGCCAGGCAGGCATGGTGATGCATGTCTATAAGTCTAGAGATCTGGGAGACTGAGGCTGAAGGAATGCAAGTTAGAACACAGTCTAGGTAGCTTAGTGAGACATTGTCTAAAAGGATGTAACGTGTAGGAGCAAATTTCCTACGATGAGTATTATTATATATACCTAAAATGTACCAATAAATGTTTTGCTATAAAAAATTTTTAAAAAGGCTTGAGGATGTCGTGTAGTGCAAAGGCCCTGTGTTCAATCCCAAAGTACTGAAATAATAAGAAAGAGGAGGAGGAGAAGGAGGAGAAGGAGGAGGAGGAGGAGGACGTGGTGCTGGTAGAGAACCTAATCAGGGTGAGGGTGAGCATGAGAGTGAGAAGTGATGTGAGGAGGAGGAGGAGGAGGAGGAAAAGAAGAACAGGAAGAGGGGGAAGAGGAAGAGGAAGAAAGAAGAAGAAAAGGAAGAAGAAGGAGAAGATGATGATAAGGAGTGTCAGCTTTCCTTAGTTATTCTACTGTTATGGTAATCTTGATATTCTTAGGAGGATTATGTCACTAGTGTAGGAACCCACTGTGTTGCTGTAGGTGTTTTGTTCCTTTGCCTTTGACCAAGTTTGTGTAGGATGTGGGTGTTGAGGGCTGTGGTTAGTGGTAGAGCATTAGCCTAGCATGTACAAGGCATGGGATTTGCTCCCCAACAAAATCAAAATCAAAACCGGGTAATGCGTGAAAACATATGAATATCTTTCTGAGAAGCCTCTGACTGAATAAAGTTGGTAAGAGGGAATGAGTGTTGTTGAAAATAGTTAACTGTTCTATTAATTAGTATTTCCCCATGATGCTACAGTGAAACAGAAACAAAAAGTTGTTCTATTTCTAAACTAATCTCAGTAGAAAACATGATTCTGATATCCGTAAAAGGCAATGCTGACAATGTTTGCAGGGGCTCTTTTATTATCGTAGGCCTTGACAATTAAAATAAAGGTGAGGCAACCTTAATAACCAGGCGCAGTAACCTTATCCAGTGAGAGGAATGGTAGGCATGGCTGGAGACGGTTTGGAAGTAGACATTTCTTGCCTAATCAGTTGTTTTAACATCATTTATCTTTTTCTCAGCCAAGGCTGAAGCTCATTTAGAACTTCCCCAGTGGAGTTTTTGAGAAAACCCTGCATTATCATTGCACTGTCTTCACAGCACTTAAAGTATAGAGTTGAGAACATTTTGAAAAGTCCCTTCATGATACACTGTCTTCTCACCTGTTCGGGGTTTTTTCCTTAAATTAACAATCTTTATTTCTAGAGCAATTTTATGTTCACAGCAGAAGGAAGAGTTCCCCTAGCCTCCCACCCCACGCACGTACAGCCTTGTCTACTGCTAATGTCCCGTTCCACAGCGGTGTTTTTGTCACTACGACTGGGGCCCGGTGGACACACCATTCTCACCGAGATGGCTGACTGAGGGCTAAACCTTGTATATTCTTTGGGTTCTCATGGGTGTAACAGGACTCGCATCTACTGCTGCGGGATCAGCTGGGATGGTTTCACCGCCCTAGACATTGTCT